CCTTTGGACTACAGCCTGGTGGACTTGCCTTCCACCAACGGACAGAGCCCCGGTAAAACCATTGAGAACTTGATTGGCAAGCCAAGCGAGAAGAGCCAGGCCCCCAAGGACAGCACGGCCAGCGCCAGCCTGGCGCCCAACGGGACGGGGAGCGGGCAGGAAGCGGTAGGGCCGGAGGAAGATGAAGATGAACTTTTGAGAGTGACTGACCTTGTTGATTACGTCTGTAACAGTGAACAGTTATAAGACTTCCATTTTTGTGCTAATTTATTCCACGGTAGCTCATACCAGCGGGCCAGTTATTAAAAGCTGTTTTATTTTTCCTAGAAAATTCTCCACTACAATATCACTTTTTAGAAGCAAGAATTTCACCAGTCCTGCAGTCTTTCTGTGAAGTGACCAGTTTCGAACTTTGAAGATGAATTGCTGTAAATTCCCTCTCTTACCCCCCCCTTCTCCTTCCAAGTCCATGGTCCTGGGTAATTTCACTCACAAAAACCTTATAACAACAAGAGATTTGTATATTTTTGACTTTATATTTCCTGAGTGCATACAAATTTGTGGAAATGGGTGGCCTAAGAAAGCATTCCAAATCGGTCAGGGCCCAAAGCGGAACTGGGGTTGGTTTGGCTCAAGGGGTGGGGGGGGTGCAGAAGCACTTGTGCTTTAGCTTTTTCATATGAGATATATATTCTATTTAAATGTTCACAACTTAGATTACAACTTAACAGACAGTTAAAACAAAAAATTAATGTCTGTACTGTCGCATTTTGTGAGTTGTAGGTTAACATACCATAGCTCATTTTAGTAATCACCTTCATGGAAGCAGTTTGATTTTAATACTGGAGGCAAACAGAATTACTAGAGGCCAAGAAGGTACCATAAACGAGAACTCGACTATCCATTATGACTTGCAGACTTTCCTAATAAACATCCTTTAAAGTGTTTGTACAGTAAAGTGTACTGTAATGACGTTTTTGACAGTCGAAACACGCTAGCCATGAATTGCTAAAGCTGTCTCACGCGTAGTTCATCAGACGGTCTTCGATGCACAGTGTCTAGTGGGAGGACGTATCGATGTCACGGTAGTCTGCGAGCTGGACGGCATCTTGACGTGCTGCAGACTTTTACAGACAAAAAGAACCCTGCGGTAGCGGCCCGGCCACTCTAGTTTCGCCGTCTGCTGGAGTGTTCTGAATGAAACGTGTTTGTGCCAGCGGCATTGACCACAGAGCGACAGTGCATCAGAGGATTGAGGGATTTTCAAACAAACCGTGACTGGTCCATTCATGTCCTTAATATCTACTTCAAATTGAAGTAAACAAATGGAACAGTTTTCCTTTTGGAGGCTTTGTTTGGGGTTTGTGTGTGTTTTTGTTTTGATTTTACTTATCTGCCTGGATGTATTAGCAGGTTTTGAATGTAGTGTTGGCCTTTGGCCATTAGAATTTTCTTAAAATACATTTTAATAATTGTCACGTGACCAACTGGTTTCAAGAAGGCAGTATTTCTGAGAGAAAACGCTTGATGCCAGGACATCTCATCAGCTTCTGAGTGGACATGAAGTGCTATGTGTTTTTATTCAAGGGGAAAGAAAAAAGACAACAAAAGCAAAAAACCAATCAACATGGGTAAAGAGCAGAGCTGAAATTTGGTTTGGGTAGCATTCAGTTTACTCTGAGTTCAGATGCAGGCTGTAGCTTTTGTCCATGTTGTAGAACACAAGACAGCTCAAACAGATCTGCCAAACATTGAAATCCAAAAAGGTCACATCTGTTAAGCCTTTTGCTCTGAGATTGGGATTTTTGACTGGTGTTGATGTCCATTGCCGGCAATGGACGCACCAAAACTGCTGCTGCCACTGAGGAGTGAGTTCTCCTTTCCTGCCCGACCCGATTCCCTCCCACCGTATTGTGTTTCTCATCAGTCATTAAGCACTTCTGTTTTCTCGTAATGAAACCGGCATTAGGCCTTTACTAAATACCTCTCTAGAAAACCTAGATCCAAAAATTACCTACCTTCTGGCCTTGAAAGTCTTGGTTTTGTTTCCCCACCTCTTTCTCCACGAGTTCTGTCAGAACCACTCCACGACTCTTACTTATTTGGGTTCTGGCAGTGCACATATCCTGCTATAAAATTAGAATCAGCAGAGTTGCAAAAAGATGGAACTCCTTAATTATCTGCTGTGCTAAGTAAGCTTGTGATTTAAAAAAATGAGAGATCACTCTCTTTTCAAATGAGAACGTAATTCCATTCAATATTTTCCCACCTTGCGGATGTTAACTATTAACAGTTTTCATAAGCAGATATTAAAACAGGGTAGTGAAAAGCCACAGAACTTCAGAATGAGTTCTGAAAAAGCATATGTAGCATTTTAAGCTACTATAGTGTTCTTTGCCTAGGTGATGCATAAATGTAGTGCTTCTACATTTCTAACATACTTGTGTTTTAAAACAAGCAAGAACGTATGGCTTCCACTTTTCAATGTGAATAATTGCTGAGCATTTTTAATATTTGCAGTGCAAACTGTCTGATTCACGTGCAGTAACACTGTGCAGCTGATGGTTTCTCATTTGTTTTGGCAGTGCCATAATCTTTTTCGCTGCCTGATGGAGCCTTTCAGTATCTGATCAGTGCTGTAGCAAACATTCTTGCTTGTAGAGTCAACCCCAAATGTTAAATACTTCATGGGCAAGTAATTGTGAATGTAGGAAAATACAGAGGAGTTACAATACCGAATATACCAACCAGGAAAAAACGGAGTGCGGAGTTAGGGAGTGACGTAAAGGCAGGAAAGACCAAGAAGCAGAATCGGAGCACTGAAGCTTGCGTCAGGAGCGTCGCGTTTTACAAAGGCGGAAAGAGAAGTTACTACCATGTTTTACTTTCTATAGGTCGCTTTTCCAAAACAACTTATTCTAAGAAGTCACATTTGGTACCCGAGACAGCTTCTGACTGCCGCACTGGGTTCATGCCGGTCTAGTGCGTGTACGTGTACGTGAGTAGAAGTGTCCTCCTGGTGTCCTTACAGTCCTGTGCTCTTCTGTACGTATCGTGAGATCAGAAGTCAAATGTCTTTGAATACCGATCTTCAGGTGTGGCTTTGGGCTAACACAAAGGTTGAACCATATGAGAAACAGTGAAAGCTGGCCAGGGATTTTTTTTTAACATAATGGATTTAAAAGTACAAGAACAAGCAGCTGTTGGCTGACTGTACAAAGAATTTATTCAGCAAACTCATGTTTATTCCGCACAGGTTGTCACTAAAAGCTTTGTCTTTTGTAACTGTCAGCTCTTCAGAGCATAACTGATTGGGAAGGAAGTGAGTTGATTTCTGTGTGCAGCCCAGGTAGCACTGGTGAGGGGAAGAACCTATAAATCAAGTGGAGGAATGGACTTTTTTTGTGTCACCAAGCTGAAGGATGGCTGTTTGCTTTCTCACATGCAGCTCGTGTGACTCTCAGCGACGCAAAGTGCACAGTAGGTCTGCTCGGTAATTAACGGCTGTGGTGCGTTAATCTAGCTAGGAGGGCAGTAGAATTAAGAACTCGGTTTCACCGCAGTTGCTGTCTTCTAGTTGTTGACTCTTCTCAACCTGAGCATAGTCGTGATTTAAAAATGGACAACGACATCGCCAAACTACCAAAAAAACCCTTGGTGTTGAAATCTTGATAGTTTGACTTTGTACGTGTTGAATTATGTTACAAAATTGCTGCATCTTCCTGTTTGTTTTTTTTAATGAAAGGATTGCTCTGTCCTAACAGCACTTCGGAGAAACAGGGATGCTTTTCTCGAAATTGCTCACTTGCGAAGCGTGTCACCTTCCAGATTTCTTTGCATTAAAGTGTCTCAGTTACTCTTCGTATAGCAGGAGCTAATGACTTAGCTGGACTTGTTTTCTGTTCACTTCTGTTTTCTGATTGCTGTGTCCGACCTCTTGGCCAGAGACCTTACTTACAGAACCTCGAGGGGAAAAAAACCTGTATGTTCATAAAAGAAAAAACTGTGTGGTAGTGGTACACTTGTTCTGGTTTGTCTTCATATCTATCATTTGAACTACATCGGTATCCAGATGCTGCAACTGTTTAATGATTTCAGTAGCTCGTTGTCAGAGTGTCCGTTTTATACCTCTGTTTTCAGGCGCTTATTACTTGGCTTTCAGTGCTCTTCAATAGGAAAGCCTGGTCTAAGCTTTCAAACAAGTGTTTCAAATTACATATTTTCACAAACTTCTTTTATGAAAAGTAAATAAGGAATTTTTATGGAACCTGCTTTTTTAATTCACTCTGTACACAGTAATTTAAATAAATCGCCGCAGTAATGCTAGCCCCCAGAACTGGTCTGACAAAGAGATTTGTATCATCTGGTTCAAAATGGCAATGTATAGGCCTTGAAAATTGGTTTTGGTACATGTGCAGTGACTACTACTCACGGCCTTGTGTTACAGATATAATGTGCAGCGGGCACCCTAGATATGTATTTACATTTGATGTATGCTTCCGATTCACTTGGGTATATAAAATCCTTAAATATATAAATACCTGTATAAAAGATCAAATATTTTCAATCTAGATAGCACAATTATGCAACTCCTTCGGCATTTAAAACTTCTGTGGAAGTATTTAGGATGTTGTCTGAAGTAAAGATTTGCAGGATCAAGCCCACATTTCCTGGTAGTTTCACTTTTCTTCCTCCCCTTCCCAAACAGTTGGGGTAGGGACTGTATCTCACTTTAAATGCTGGAAGGCAGAAAATAAAAAATGCAACAGAAATGATCCTTATTTTTTTCCAGTATATACTGATGTAAGAAAAATTCTATAGGACTAATTTTTGGTGCTTTACAGTTGAGTACCCAGTCTGAGGCCTAGCGGGGAGCTCTGGCTTCAGAAATACTTATCAGTTGAAAACTATTTCTGAAGCTGGACACCCAGCAGCTGGGGTGTCGAAGATTACCAGTCACTTCTGAAAACGCGCATCACTTACCAAGCTCTTATTTTAGATTAGGTGTAGCTAACCGAGATAGTTCCAAACAGTAAAAACGTGTGCTTGGGAATTGATTGTCCCAACACTTCAGAGTAATTTAACTTATTTTGTATATTGCAAAAGATGTATATTGCTTAGTATGACACTTAAAAAAAAAAGATTGTGTACAGCTTCTGGGGGAAAAGAATAGAACACTCTAAAGTAGATAAGAAGTTTTTATAATTGAATATGTGGTGTAAAGGCTCCAGATTTAACTGCAATTAAAAGGAAGTCCTACAACTTGGGTTTTTGACTATCATTTTGTAAATGCTGGCACCCCACACCTGAGCTGAGGAGCAGGAGAGGGGACAACACAGCAGTGAGAGGGGACACGTACTTAATGCAGGCACGTGTGCCCGTGAATATGTCTACTGTTGCTACATATGACCCCAAAGGTTACTAACGAGAACTGAACGGTAGAGTCGCTCTGCTCGCTCAGTTGGTTTACTTTGTGCACTTTGCAGCACTTTGTGTATAGTCAGTCTCACTGGTTCCCCAGGTGCAGACAGAGCCGCTTTCTCCTGCTGATTGAACGCTCTTTCAAATCACAGCAGGAGATGGGGAATGGATGGAGGGAAGTGGAACGGAAAAACGTGTACGCAAACCCATGCCATTTGCAAGACAGGTCTTGGACAGGCCTGAAAACTACTTCTGACTCGCCCTTTCAAGACTGTATTTCCAATGGAAGGTCTCCTTTTGGAAGAATCATCCCTCCCTTTCTCGTCCTGACTTTCAAACTAACAGGAAAATCTACTCGAGGTCTCCTTCCGTGAGGGAATCGGTAACGTTCCATCAGCGCAGTGTGGATGTGGAGAAAATTGGGATTGGCCCATAGAGTATTATGAAAATGTTTGCCTCTGGGGACGTCGGTCGGAGTCCGCACAGTTTGCTTTGTTGTTTGTTCCTCTTACTGTGTCCCACACAACTAAACTTAGTTTAGTCTGTCAGAACTTGACTTAAATATGGGGATAGAGTCCTACTAAAGCATATGATAGGCCTAGTTACCAGTGCAC